TACAGCTTGGTATTGCATGTAAATCGAAAACACTAATAGTCTTAGAGCTTGGAATGCCATGTAATTCAAAACACTAATAATCTTAGAGCTAAAATATCATGTAATTCAAAACTGTAGTAAGCTTAGAGCTTGGAATGTCATATAATTCAAAACACTCATAATCTTAGAGCTTAGAATGTCATGTAATTCAAGACACTAGTAATCATAGTACTTGGAATGTTATGTAATTCGAAACGTTAGTAATTTTAGAGCTTCAAATTTCATGTAATTCAAAACACTAATAATCTTAGAGATTGGAATGTCATGTAATCCAAAACACTAGTACTCCTCGTGCTTGGAATGTCATGTAATTCAAAACACTAGTAAGCTTAGAGCTTGGAATGTCATATAATTCAAAACACTAATAATATTAGAGCTTGGAATATCATGTAATTCGAAAATCTAGTCACGTTACAGCTTGGTATTACATGTAAATCAAAACACTAATAATATTAGAGCTTGGAATGTCATGTAATTCGAAAATCTAGTCACGTTACAGCTTGGTATTACATGTAAATCAAAACACTAATAGTCTTAGAGCTTGGAATGCTATGTAATTCAAAACACTAATAATCTTAGAGCTAAAAATTTCATGTAATTCAAAACTGTGGTAAGCTTAGAGCTTGGAATGTCATATAATTCAAAACACTCATAATCTTAGAGCTTAGAATGTCATGTAATTCAAAACACTAGTAATCATAGTACTTGGAATGTCATGTAATTCAAAACACTACTAAATTTAGAGCTTGTAATGTTATGTAATTCGAAATACTATAATCTTGAAGTTTGGAATACCATTTAATTCGAAACGCTAGTAATCTTAGAGCTTAGAATTTCATGTAGTTCAAAACACTACTAATCTTAGAGCTTGGAATGCCATGTAATTGAAAACGCTACTAATGTTACTACTTGGAATATCATGTAATTCAAAACACTAGTAGTCTTAGAAATTGGAAATTCATCTAATTCAAAACAAGAAAATTTTAAAGCTTGGTATTACATGTAACTCAAAACACTAGTACTCTTAAAGCTTGGAATTTCATATAATTCAAAACACTAATAATTTTAGAGCTTGGAATGTCTTATAATTAAAAAAACCACTAATCGTAGAGCCTGGAATGTCATGTAATTCAAAACACTAGTAATATTAGAGATTAGAATGTCATGTAATTCAAAACATTAGTAATCTCAGAGCTTGGAAGGTTATGTAATTCAAAAACTACTAATCTTAGAGCTTGGAATGCCATGTAATTGAAAACACTGGCAATTTTAGAACTTGGGATGTCATGTAATTCAAAACGCTAGTAATCATAATGCTTGGAATGTTATGTGATTCGAAACGCAAGTAATCTTAGAGTTTGGAATTTCATGTAATTCAAAACACTAGTATTCTTAGAGCTTGTAATTTCATGTAATTCAAAACACTGATAATTTTAGAGCTTAGAATGTCATGTAATTCATAACACTAATAATTTTAGAGCTTAGAATGTCATGTAATTCATAACACTAGTAATCTTAGAACCTAAAATTTCATGTAATTCATACAATAATAATTTTAGAGCTCGACATTTCATGTAATTCAAAACATTAGCACTCTTACAGCTTGGAATTTCATGTAATTCAAAACACTGCTAATCCTAGAGTTTGGAATATCATACAATTCAAAACACTAATAATCTTACAGCTGGAAATGTCATGTAATTCAAAACTCTAGTAAGCTTAGAGCTTGGAATATCGTGTAATTCAAAAAACTAGTAATCATAGAGCTTGGAATGTCATGTAATTCGAAAATCTAGTCACGTTACAGCTTGGTATTACATGTAATTCAAAACCCTAATAATCTTACAGCTTGAAATGTCATGTAATTCAAAACTCTAGTAAGCTTAGAGCTTGGAATGCCATGTAATTCAAAACACTAATAATCTTAGAGCTTAGAATATCATGTAATTCAAAACTCTACTAATCTTAGAGTTTGGAAATTCATGTAATTCAAAACAGTAGTAATTTTAGAGCTTGAAATTTCATGTAATTCAAAACAATAGTAATCTTAGAGCTTGAAATTTCATCTAATTCAAAACACTGATAATCCTAGAGCTAGGAATTTCATGTAATTCAAAGCAATAATAATCTTAGAGCTTAGAATGTCATGTAATTGAAAACACTAATAATTTTGAAGAACATTAGTTTGATAAAGTTTCCGAGTTTTGTTAAATTTAACAGGTTGAACATTACTGTTAAATTCGTGAAGAATAAGACTATTGACTCCATCTTGGCCGTTTGCCTTGGAAATTCAGCAAAATGTTGACGTGTCCCAAACGCGCTCGTGAAGTTTTAGGTTAATGACAAACCGTCTTCATGCTTAGTATGAGTTTGGCTTTAATCACGCGTGATTCATGTTTGTCTACATATAACCTGGTGATAATTTTTTATTTCTGAAATTGCAAATTATTTTAAGCCTAATAAGTTTATTTTCTATAAAACCACCAATTCATCATCAACTTAAAAATATAACAAATTGAAAAAATTCGTCGTTATGACAACATAAACACGTTGTCTGAACAAATGTGTATGCATTTCAGACTGAAATAAAAATCTATAAAATTTCAGAATATATTACATAAAACATTACCGTATACTTTATGATTACATTTGTTTGTTTTTTTACTTTTATATATTAGTTTCTGAATATATAATGTGTTATATATATATATATATATATAATTATATAATATATAATTAAGAGATAATTATAAACAGAAAAGTATATATAAACTTTTTTGTATTTTTTTTTGCAAAATGTATTCTTACGTTTCATTGCTAAAAGGGATAATAAATAGATTTAAGTATGTCAATGTTTTTGATACTGTAAACAAGAAAATACTTCGTAAATTAAAGCATGAATAACTAGTTTTGGTCAAAGTGAAACTACAGTTATGTGAAACTACAGTCATATCACATAAGTCAACTTGAATAAGAAACATAACGGAAAAAACCATTTTACTTGAATATATCCATTCTGGAGAAGTTAACTTAGAGCAGTATTTAATAAAACGAATTCATTTTCAGATAGGCTTATCTTTTATTTTAAATAATTTCTGGGACAAGACATACCGTTGAAAGCCACAAAAATCACGAGACGAAGAAAGGCCGACATCCCATCACACATGTGACGACTCTCGTCCCTTGATCCGGGCACACACCTTAGATATCAGAACACGCTTAGCACGTTGGGTCTCCAACACGAAGTTTGCTAACGTATTAAACTAACAAACAGTCGGCCCAGTTTCTCTGCTACACCACCTGGCTTCTGAAAATAGGAGAAAATTTGTTCTGCGCTTGCGCAAGTCCATTTCCTCCCGTGAAGCACGGCGACGCGCGCTCAGTAGACGCGCGACTGCGATTATTGCCGTCAAGTTAGTCTTAATTCCTAACGTGGTATGCACGTGTTAAATGACGGCTGAAGCTAGAGAATATTATATATAATAATATTAATATGTTTTATTTACCTTTATGTATGTGTGAGGATTTGTTTTTCTTCAGATAAAGTGTGAAACTCTTATTGAAGTAACGAGCAACTTTTTTTTTTCTTCAGATAAAGTGTGAAACTCTTATTGAAGTAACGAGCAACTTTTTTTTTCTTCATATAAAGTGTGAAACTTTTATTGAAGTAACGAGCAACTTATTCTAATTGTTTTTAGTTTCTTTTTGAAGATCCCTTAAGTTTCACTATTTGTACCCTTATAATTAGATAAATAGCTTACAATTGGCGAACTTATGCGACACCTGTACCATATACATGATATCGTGTAGTTTAGTGCTCTGTCGTGACGCCAGATGTCCTTGTATGGCGGGCGAGTTTAAAGAGTACCTTTAGAGATCTTTTGAAAATTTCTCCACGTGCCTTGCGCCACAGCGCCCCTCAACGGTGAATACTTACGAGAGCACTTGCAGAGATAGGGCAGACGGGCGATTTGATCATAGAGCTAAGCAGTCGTCGAAGGCATTCTTCGTGCGGGAAAGAACTGATTGACACGTAGAGCAGCTCGCTTTGGGGAGCGGCGGCTGGCCCGTCGTATTCAGAGAAAACATTAATATGGTTACGTTCAAGAACGTCATCGTCGGTACTGAACATTGGACAAAAAGAAAGAGCAGTGAATGTTGTAATAACCATTAACTGAAATAAATAAATTCTGTTATTGTTTCTAAGAGCCCTAACTATTCACCACACCTGAAGCAGACGTACAACATGACTAGTCAGAGACGATTCTTGCGGTTAATCTTCTACTGTTTTGTGTTATTGTCCTGTGTTAATGGAAAAGGTAAGCAATCTCTTAATAAGTATTTTCCAAGTTATATATAATTTGAAATCTGTAAATTGAGGTTAAAAATTTATACCTAATTATAAATTAATATTTAAACATTTACTACCATATTCTACGTTTTTAAATTAAGAATAACCATCGCAAATCTTTAGACTACTGTTTATTGCTTAACGTATAGTCTAGTGTTTCTCGAGTAGAAAGATATTTTATTATTGTCTCATTTTGTCTTTCATACTTTACGACTTGTTTAAAGTTAAACATATAAACTATGACAGCCACCGTTTCCTCTTCTCCGCCCGGGTTTTGCAGAGTCAGCAGGCTATTTTAAGGGAGATGATCACTTTGCTATTTTCGTTCCAAGGCGTGTTTCATCCTACCAAATGTTGAACTACGTATAAAAAAAAATAAAATAGTTTATAAGAAGTGTGAATGATGAAAAAAGAACTCGGTCAATACTGATACCTTTCTAAAAACTAACTGTACATATACGGTGTGAACGTACCTAATAAGGTGCTTTGATTGGTTCTTGTGAAGGTATAGGGAATAAGGTGTAGCATGTGAGGGTAAAAACTGATTTGTACAATGAAATAATTTCGTGTGATTACGCCTGGATTTCATGTGATTACGCCTGGATTTTGCGTGATTACGCCTGGATTTCGTGTGATTACGCCTGGATTTCGGCCTAAACTTTAAATGGATAAGTAAAAAGGCGTTATCGAAGATTTAAAGCACATTCAGTGTAGTAAACGGGACGTGTTCAGCTCGTCCAGAAATTCTATTACATGGCTTGTTGCTCACGCTAATGTATCTCGACTATAGTTAATCTCATACACACTTTGATTATGTTGTAAATTTTGGTCAATAGGAAAGTACGTTGAACAACTTGGAGAAGTGAGATTAATAGGAAAGAAAGAAAATTATCATTGTTATATGTCTTGATCTCAATTGAAATTCGTAAATAAAATTATCCCAACTTGTGCTGGGATCCAAGATATCTTGGCTCTGTCATCTGTGAAGTAAACACTTAAAATACACACATATATATACAGGCAAAATGAAGTAATTAATATTTACAATTGGAACAGAAGACATAACGGATAAATTACGTTTTCCTACTCTTAAACAGATTTAGATTTCACCACTTAGTTGATGTAGAATTTTCTAAACAAGTCTTTCTTCTGAATATAAACTTACAGAGGTAAGTTAGAGCTATTTAGCTGAGATATTACATTAGCTGTATTAGTCTCTCGTTGCTCTTAACTGCCACCTGGACAATTTCAGCGGAAGTGAATTAGTTATTATAGATTTATACAACTCTAGTTGTCACCAAGGTGAAATTTATCTGCTTTAAACTTTACAACTTTACAATTGATTTTTAAGACATATTTTATAATTGTTCTCGTATATGTTATAGTTTCTGCACGAGGACTATCTACGCTAACATTTTAGATTGACAGACAAAAGGACAAGCAGCTAGCTAATTAACAGTACCAACTGTCAACCGTTAGGTTACTCTGATCGAGTAGCGGAATATGGCTGCCACTCTTATTATCGGTCTCAAAGAGTGGAGAGCAATTTTTAGGCAACGGGATGCGAACCACGGACCCTCAGGTTAACAGTCTGACACGCTAATCGCTAGGTCACGCACGACTCGGATACGTAATAGTGTTATTTTAATTCTTGGGCTAAAATTAATCAAATTGACATACCCGAAGACCTTGCATATTTCTGTTGTCGAATATATTTTATCTGAAATCTTTTATGGACAGGGACTGACAGAACGTCCTTAAAAAGCTGAAAATTATTCGCTCACATCTAATCTAACGAACTGCTTAAACTATGACTAAGTTTATCAAATAATAGGCAACAAAACCCAACTTTTATTGCTTCAATGCAGCCATTGTACTCGGGGATCATATGAGTGTATGAGCACAACGCATGAATACGTTAAATTAGTGTGTTAAAATTGCACCAACTGTTTAGAGCAAAGTCGATACTTTTTGGCTTATGAATACTTGCATATTCAGTACGCTCGGTGGTGGTTCGTTTTCCCTTATTATTTGTAGATTGTATATAACATTCTGAGCTTAACTGGCTTAGTTTATGGAAATGGCGACAAACCTTCGGCACCTATCATATTTGAAGTTTAAGTCACCTAAAAAAATAACAACAGTGACAACTATGAGATAAAATACAACAATAGTTATAAATAAACACAACAATAAACGTATAAATAAAATGAAACAGTCTACAAAATAACAATATGGATAAAACGGTGTTGGAAATTACGCGTAGTGGTTGTTGAAAAAGATAAAAAGAAGTATATTAT